ATATATATATATAAGAAAAGTGCGTAATTGTTATTTTCTACTTTTAGCCTGATATTGATCTTGATACATATCACTATAATACATGTTTATATTATAATCCTTGCTATTTATCTGTACATTTGAGAATGATACTCATTACATACGCTCTATAGTTTCATAAATTTTTATAGTTTAAATAAAACATTTTCTTTACTGTTTGTCTCCGGCACACGCACTTTTCTTTATAATACGTGGAACATACGTGCAACACACATATGACTATATATATATATATATGTATATATATATATATATATACATATATGTATATGTATATATATATGTATATATATAATTGTTTCACAAACATTGTGTGTATAATGTGATAGTACATTTGGCGCCTTAAGGTCGCAAATGTACTTTCATTTATTTACTCATTTTCATTCATTCATTTATTTGTTATTTCAAACACAACAGCCATACATCTAAAACAGTTATATATATATATATATATATATATATAATTATATATATAATATAAATACAATTGGCGCCTTAAAAAATTATAAGTATAATATATAAATAATATATATAATATATAAATACACTTATATATATATATATATAATTATATATATATAATATAAATACAATTGGCGCCTTAAAAAATTATAAGTATAATATATAAATAATATATATAATATATAAGTACACTTGTGCGCCTGAAGTCGCCAAATGTACTTTCATTATTTAACTAAATTATATTCATATATATGTATATTTGGTGCCTTAACAAAATTAAATGCATATAAGTATATTTGCTTTAAGTACATAACTTTCATTATTTAACTAAATTATATACATATAGGCTATGTAGGCCTACATAAGTACATTTAGCGCCTCAAGGCGTCAAATGTACTTATATACATATAATTCATTATTTAATTTATAATTCATTATTTGTTCATTATATACATATAATAAGTTTTGCCTCCAACAATTATATATAAATAATTAATGGAACGATTTTCTTTGTTTATAAATAATTTAAAG